GCATTAGAAGGATTCCTGCCTTTGATTATAATCTGAGTACTAAGTAGAGGGATTGTTTAAATTATTCAGTATAGCCTAACCAATTATTTGGAAAAACTATGAGAAAATAAATTTTGGTCACCTAAATGTTAAGGCAAATACTGGAGAGCTGAGGTAGTGTGTCAAAGTAAGTATTAAGGTAGACATATGTAGATAGTAGAAAATTTGTATACATTTTTGGTCTGTCCTTTTTCTCCTGGTGATCTGAATAAAACCTTACTTTCTAAATTTTTTTTAAAAGAGCTTCATTGTGGTATAATTTACAACTGGTAAAATCTGCCCATTATAAATGTACAGTTCACTAATTTCTAGTATATTTATATAGCTATGCAACCATCACCACACAAAAAGTCATTTTTAAGAAAAATGGGAACAACCAAGATGGTGGCATAGGTAAACACCTGTACTTGCTGCCTCTCACAACCACATCAAAGCTACAACTAAAAGACAAAACAAATATCATCCAGAACCACAGGAAAGCTAGCTGAGTGGAAGTTCTACAACTAGAGGAAAGAAAAAGGCTCATTGAGACTGGTAGGAGGTGCGGAGGTGTGGAGGCACGCAGGAAACTGGCTAGCAACTAGGTGCGCTGTTGTTGTTGTTTTCAATCAGGAGAAAGATACAAGCTCCCGATTGCTCTGAACTCCAGTTCCAGGTGAGACTCTGGGGACCCAGACTCATATGGGGAGAAACTGGGCTGTCTGGCATGGGCCGGAACACAGGGCGGCTTTCTTTCAGAGGTGCTTGCAGGGATCATTGTTCCTGCATGGGGCCGAGGGACACAGAGGCCCAGGGACCTCTCTGAGGCAGGGCTGACTGGCAGCCATTGCTGTTTGCTCCGCCCTGGTGATTCCCTGAAACCCCTGCCCCACCCAATTTACAACCCCACCCAAGCCATGCATATGAATAGCCTGTCCTTTTGCAACCTAAAACCTAACAAACTGCAGCTGGGTCAGAGAGCTCCAAAGCTTCCAAAAGAAGGCCTAAGGCCCAGCAGCAGCAGCCTGCATTGCTTCACAGCTGGGCCTCATCTGGACACTTCCAAACCCCAAACAAAGAGGAGGAATATGCAGATCTCTCTGTAGCTCCTGCTGGGTGGCCTCAGGAAGTGGCTGACTTTGCACCTCCTTGGAGATCCAAGAGCCATTGTACCCAGTGGTCAGTGTGAGACTATACCAGATTACAACTCTTCACATCCATAAGAGACACACCTCAGGAACAGGGGAAGGTGGAGAAGACCTGAGAGGCAATCAGGGCCAGCAGTCACTGTTTGCTCCTACTGACAACCGCGTCGGGTGCTGGCAGCGGGTGCAAGCAGTGGTTCTGGTGCCAGCAGCAGGTGCGAGCAGGGCCAGCACCAGCAGCAGGTGCAGGCGCCCAGCAGGACCACAGTGTGCAGGAACAAAGAATTTTCAGTAACCACCAGAAGTTCACCCTGATGACAGTGACCAGCGCCCCACCATGGTCTGGTGCCCCCACTCACCTGCTCCATCCTGCTACGGCTGATGCCCACCATGTTCTGCACTCTGCCACCTGCTGCTGATGCTCACTATGTTCCGTGCACGCCCCCTGGTGGTCAGCGCACATCATAGTGACTGGTTACTGGTTTGTTAGGTTGTTCAGTTGTTCTGCCATCCAGGCTATTTGCATAGTAAGGTTTTATATACATAGATAAGTGAATGATGAAGATCTAACTACATCAGTGTTAATCAGGGATTTGCTCTTGGCCTGTATTTTTTATAGAGCATGGGGGGGGGGGTTTTTGCCTGGCTG